GTGCTGCGCTGCTGACTGGCAGAGGGCAATGAGCAGATTATGATAGCCGACTTTTCGAGTCTGCCTCAGTCCTTCAACAGCCTTCGCGGCCCTTGGTAACCCCTCTGACGACCGATCCGGTGTAATTTTCGATGACATTTGCACCATGAAGAGCGGGCAGCGAAATTTTACGGAGCCTTTACCACGGTCTCCAACTCTGCTCCTTTCTCAACCGGGCTTGGGACCGGCAACGATGGAGTTACCGTATTTTTCAGACCATAAGGCGCACTTAAAATCCTTATATTTGCAAAAAAATCGCCATTGCGCCCTATAGTCTGGTGCGCCTTATATATGGATTTTGGCCTGAATCCTTCATACAAAAGATGCTCCTTCTGCTTCTGCGATGTCGTACTCTCCATGGTTATTTTACTATATTTATAAAATGGTTTGACTTCGTAGAAAGAATCTTTTGTAATTTGATTCCTTCGTTGGAACGAGTCTATAGTAGAACTCAGCTTGTCACGTCGGCCGGCTCTTTTCGATCGCAAACAATCACTAGACGGGTATCATAATCTTTGTACTGCGCCGTTTTGTCGGGGTACGTTGAATGGTGGAGTTTTGTCCTGGGCCGTTTTGTTACGGCGCCTCTGGAGGCAATTGCCGACTGCAGTTTTGAATTTGATCTTATTCAAGCGCGAGGTTTTCTGTTGAGCATAAATCAATCACGGGACAGTGGCTATGCGGTGTCAAGACGGACCCTTTTCATTTGCCCCGCCAATTTTCGTGATACGCATTGTGCTTCAACACTATTACCGTATAAGGACCCCTAAATGGTACCTGTTAAGAGACATGCTTACGATGCGGATTTCAAGCTCAAGGCCATCAGCCACGCAGTACAAATGGGAATAGAGCAGCTGCGAAAAAATTCATCATTAATGATTCAATGGTGCGGAAGTGGAGGAAGCAAGAAGGTGACCTGCTCCAAGTAAAGAAGACCAGAAAGAGTTTCCGAGGGAACAAAGCAAGATGACCACAGTTAGAGGACAAAATTGAGCAGTGTGTTATTGAACAGAGAACAGCAGAAGAGGCGTCTCTACAGACTCCATTCGATTCAAGGCAAATAATATCGCACTTGATATGAAGATCAATGACGTTCGAGGAGGTCCTTCTTGGTGCTTCCGTTTTATGAAATGGCGTCGTCTCTCCATCCGCACAAGAACTATCATCTCGCAACAACTGCCAAAGAATTACGAAGAAACGTCGACCATCTTCCGCAACTATATCAAGAACAAGATCACCGAAAAGGATATCCAGCCAGACCACATCACCAGCATGGACGAGGTCCCTCTCAGCTTTGACATCCCGTGAGCCGAACTGTAGAAAATGCAGGGACCGCTACGGCATCTATACGCACCACAGGGAACGAGAAATCATCCTTCACTGTGGTTCTCAGTTGCCAGGCTAATGGCCAGAATCTACCTCCCATGGTCATTTTCAAAAGGAAGATTTTACCAAAAAAAAAATTTCCAGCTGGGGTCGTTGTCAAGGTAAACCCAAAAGGCTGGATGGTCGAGGAGAAGATGATCGAGTGGCTGAGAGAAGTTTACGTCAAGAGACCGGATTGCTTTTTCCACACATCTCCGTCATTATTGATCTACGACTCTATGCGCGCCCATCTCACAAAATCTGTCAAAAACAAAGTGAAGCAAACTAATTCGGCGCTTGCCATCATTCCGGGAGGATTGACCTAAGAACTGCAACCACTAGATATTGGTGTTCAAGGTTAAATTACAAGCTATGTGGGAGCAGTAAATGACAGAAGGTGAGCTCTCCTTTGCCAAGTCAGGGAGGCAACGCCGGGCTAGTTACGCCACTATCTGCCAATGGATCATTGATGCCTGGACCAAAGTATCGGTCTCAACTGTCGTCAGCCAAACAG